TGAAAAAAAAAAAAACAAAAAAAAAACACCAAAGGAAAAAAAAAAAGAAAAAAAAAGTGCAGTAAACTAAATGTTTAAAAAAGCACGTTTGTGCCGTCTCTGTGCAAAGATAAAAGAAATAAATACATGATTAAAAAATTAAAAAGGTTCACAGTATCACACATGGATAGGTAGCTACGGTAGTGCACGTTTGGGAAACACTGTGTTACTACCCAGGATTCTCAACACGCAGCTGGACGTCTCTGCCGGGAGCTGCGGGGGAGCGGGTGCTTTCTTTGCTGCCCACGTCTGGGGTGAGTGGAAATACACGGTTAGTTTTGCTTCGTTCTGGAATGCAGTGCCTGGGATCCCGCAGTGCAGCAATACTGGCGTCAGGAAGCTCTTCCCCATCCCRCTGGAACGACTGCATCAACGAAAAGGGAACACATCGACCTGCAGAGGGAATCGCTGCTCTCTGGGGCTTCTGTGTCTGCATAGAGATTACTGCAAGAGGCAGAGAGAGGAGAGTCAAGGCYCGAGCCCTGCGATCAGCTAGATCCAAGCCCAGCAAATCCCCAGAGCCAAAACGAACGTGGAGAGAGAAGCCTGCTTGTTTTGTGCCCTCCGGTAACGACAACACGACCGGAGCGCTGCAGATCCCCGAGCTCTCACTGCACTGAGCGGTTCAGGAYGAGGCGGCAGCGCCGCTGAGCTGAGCTGAGCGGAGGTCTCGCCTGCAGCCTCCCTGAGCCAGGCTCTGCCACGCGAGCGCCCCGCGCTGCACGGGCCGCTCGGCCCTCGAGCTGCGAGCGTGACCCCCCGGCACACGTTGCTCATACACTTACTGTATCGCTCTCCTCATCGGAGACAGAGTGGAGCTGGGCGCTATAGTGGAGCGGGGAGTAAACCCAACTCCTCTCGTCTGTCGGCTGCCAGAGTGGCCAGAGACGGCGGGGAGAATGCAAGGAGAGCGGCAGCAGAGCAGGGAGCAAAGGAGAGAAGAGGAGAAAATAAAAGGAGAAAAATAAAAAGAGCAGGAAACAATACAATAAGAACAGCTGTCCACCCGGAGCAAGAGAACCGAGCTCAGCGGCGGGCGTCAGCGAGGAGCCTTCCTCGTCCTCGGGATGTCCCTGCTCCCCCCCAAGCCRGGACAGCAGCTCGGGCAGCAGATCCTCCCCCTGGCACCTACCAGGGGCAGATTCTAGAGCTTTGGAGGTGCCAGAGAAAGCGAGAGAGCTCCCTGCCACGTCCTCAGCCTCATCAGAGCGGGCAAGACAGAGYGGGCGTTGGTGACTTACCAAGGGCAGCGACAAGGCTCAGCTCCTGCCACCCCGGCCCTGCTCCCAGCTAACGACCCTGGGCCCTTGCAGGTTAGGAGCTCCTGGGGTCCCCAGGGGGCTTTAAGGAGGAACCTGCTTTGTGGGGCCTTCCCCCTGCCCCGCAGACCAAGCAGGGGGGCGGCCGGGCCCATTAGCTCACGGTGGTCGCGGAGAGGAGCCGGTCAGTCAGCGATGAGACTCTTGTAGACGGTGGCGAGATGGGGATGGGTACAAGGAAGGAGGCAAAACACAAGTGAACTATGGGCAGGAGGGAAGGAGGATGTGCAGCTGGGGCGCCGGCGCTCACAGCACACGACAAAACACTCGGGACACAACACAGAAACGCGGGCAGGGCCGAGGGTGGGGGGCCAGTGCTTCCCAAGGGATCTACTTCCACTGCGGAGCAGCTCTGGCTGCTCTAGAGCTGCGTCCGGGTCTGAAGGAGAAAGGAAATTTCCCCTTCGAGCGAACCCAGGATCGCAAAGGAAAGGACTGGAGCTGGGTACTCGGAAGCAGCTGGGAACGTTTCCAGCCCAGGAACCAGGAGTAGCAGCCTGGGATGTACAAGAAACTACAAGAAGCCAGAGGAGCTTTGAAGCACTGGGCTCCACATCCTGCCCTAACAATGACTGCAGCTGCGTTAGCAGCTGGGAGGAAGGAAGGAAGGAAGGAAAAGAAACCCTTGCCTGAAGCTCCTGGGCTCCGTCAGAGATGGAGGAGCGCTCAGCGCTGCACCAAGCACATCTTGCACCCTGTTCCCACCCACTCTGACTGAGCTCCATGCTTAGGAGCAGGCTTAGGGCAGCCTAAACGCAGGCAGAGCAAGAGCTGCAAACCCAGCCCAGTGCTAAGGGACATCCAGGACATGGAGGTGACCCTCCTGGGGCTGGGGCAGCCAAACCCAGCAGGCGAGGGCAGGAGGAACCGCAGGGAGAGGCTGTTGGCCTGCCGGGGTACAGCCTTTCTCAAGCCATCGGCCAAGCTGGGGAGCAGGTTACGAGCTTTGCCCCAGCTTCCCCATGCACCCTGCCCACCCCACGGCCTCTCCACCACTGCCTGCTTCCAGCCAGGCAGGGAGCGACAGGACCCCAGGACACGAATCTTGTGCCGAGACCCTGGCAACACTGTCACTACCCACCAAGGAAGGCACCGTCTCTCTGCAAACCTGTGATATAAGCCAGAGCAGCCTGARCTCTGGATTCTGCCCTAAATGCTGAACTTCTCCACATCTTTCAGGGGGCAAAGGAAAATCCTTATAGCTCACAGAAAACCTGCAGTGGGGAGGCAGCAGAAGCAGCACCCTGGGAGCACAGACCTTCCCTAATCCCAACAGTGTCTCTCAACTCCATTGGCTTTAAAAGCTGGTCAGTGTCCCAGAAAGCAGAAAAAAAAGAAGAAAAAGACCAGCCAGAGACCTAAAAACTCATCTTTGCAGCCACATTTTTACCTACAAAACATCTTGCAGGTCTCTGGAGCTCAGTTTGGCCTCCCAGGCTAAGGGAGCTAAGCCTAACATTACCTCAAACATACAGATGCCTCTGAGCTTCTGGCCAGCTCGGCTGCCAGCAAGTTTGTCCATGGGCCAGATGATACTCTGTCATTAATATATGATGATATTATTCCATCCCATGCCAGGAACTGTGTAGCCGGCCTGAAGACAATTGGGGCAGAGTCCTCATTTTTTCAAGATCCTACTCGAGATCCACTTGGGGACTTTTTTTTCCTCTGCTTTCCGTTTTTACTGGGCTGGTTCCTATCTAGCCAACACGGAGCCAGGCYATCCAAGGGACACGGAGCTGCTAGCCCCAGTGTTTCAAAGCTGCAGCTGTGCTCCCCTATGCGCTAGCGTGTTCACTTACAGTCCCAGAGGAAAGCGAGGTGGTTCGGAGTCTGCGCTGGCGGGGAGAGTAAATCCAGTACCTCCCATCTGTGAACTGCAATGGCCCGAGGGCAAGTGGGGTGAGAAAGGAAAAAGAGGAGAAAAGGGTGATGTGAAAAGACAGGATGGAAGAGAAAGCAAAASGAGGGGTTGGGCAACTCCAGGCTTGAGGGGATGGGCAGGCAGGAAAGCCGTGCATGGGAAGAGCAGCCCCTGTGCCCTGCCACAGGCTCGCTCCTCTCTGCCCTCGTGGGTGAACAGGAGGATAAAGCGCTTCCCTTCCTGAAGCAGATTTCCAGAGGCCCCCGGTCCCTGGGACTCGCCAAATTCTTTGCACGCAGCCTCTCCTCACTGCTCCTGGAAGGCTCCAATAGAGCAGCTGTGGTCCGAGCTCCACTGCGCTCGGCTGCAGTTTCACCTGAGCTGCAGTTCAAGTGAGTTTACAATGAGAGCGCCCGTGGGAACCCAAATCAGCTTTTCTCTTCATCCCAAGAGCGGGGGAAACACTCCACAGCACACGACACACATTTAATGCAAAACTCAAGGGCTCAGATGAAGTATGAAATGCTGATGAGCAGTCAGTCATGCTCTCTCTGAGCACACGCTGTGCACAGACGGCTCCCTCCAGAAAAACAGCAKCCCTAGAAAGTCAGGAGGAGTCCATACGCCCAGGGAGAGCAGGGGAGAGGAGCTGGCCCTYGCCAGAAGACACTTGCCAGTGGAGCAGGCAGGGTCTGCAGGCAGCTTGCACACAGCTGCTGTCCACGGGCAAAGAAAGAGCAGCCAGTGTTAGAGGGAGCTGTTTGCAGTCTGAACGGCATGCATGAAATCCCAAACAGACGAGCTCTTAAAATGGTGCCGATTCCTTCGGCAGCTCCCACGAGCCTCTAGATGACTCGGCAATGAGCGAGCAGCTCTGCAGCAGTCACGCAAGCGCAGGGCAAGCCAAATGTTGCTGTTTTTAGGTTAGCCCAAAGGAGCTTATCGCAGAGTTCAGCTCTGCTCTGCTGCCACGTATCCGACAGCAATGGGCTGGAGCAGGGAGCAGCTGACCAGCTCTTAGGGAGAAGGTTCCAGTGCCAGGACACGGGGGAAGAGCTGCCACGGGACAAACCCTTCACCCCTCAGGGCTCTGGTGCCCAGGGGACAGGCTCATGTGGCTGAGCTCCTCTCCAGGCTGCAGAAACTGCTCAAACATTGCGGGCGCTGACTGAGGAACCCAGCCCCAGGCTCCAGCACACTCTGCTGCCAACCAACCTCACTTACTCCCTGTCCCAGTACTAGATTTCCACTGCACCATCTAATGCATCTGCCTGCAGGGAAAGGAAAAGCCAGAGTTCACCAGAGCCCGAGGTCCACCCRCTGCAACAATCTCCTCCTGGCTTTAGGTCACGCCATGTGTGTGTGGACAGCAGGGAGCTCTGCCTAGGGAGGGAAGGAGATGCACCCTGGCTCATGCTGGAGTGAACACGCTGGCAGAGTGAAGCCTGTCCGTGCTGCTGCGTAGCACATCTAGCTTCATCTACACCAGCAGTGTCACCCATGTGGGCCTTGCTGCTTTGAGTTCTTCAAGGGCTWATCCAGTTCCCTGGGTTCAAAAACCTGTCCAGCATTAAGATCTCGAGGTGCTTGACACAAGGATGGCACAGGGCAGCCACTGCCCTTGCTCGCCTGCTGAATTCAGACMAACCATTCATGTTACACCCCTAATAACCAGGCAGAGAGGGTATCTTACAAAGTATATATCTGTGACTGGCACATCATCTTCATCCGAGGCCTGGCTGGCCGGTTCCGAGGCCTGGCTGGCTGTCTCCACCTCTATCGTAGCTGCGGACATGACAGTGGCACACGCTGATGCTGCCTCTCTGGAGGGGGAAGAAATGGCAGAGTCCAGTCATTGTTATCAAAAAAGCAGCAAGCAAGGCTGATTTGCTACACAGATGCCCCATTTCCACATCCAGAAGGACTGGATGAGGACAGGCCAGAAGCAGAAGCTTCATGGCCTTTTACGCACCCCTCTGTGCATGAAAGGTGACAACCGACCAAGCYAAGTCAGCTCCCAGCACAAAACCCCACAGATGACACAACTCTGTCAACCCCTCACTCACTCTTTCTCCTCTTCCTCAGGAGCTATGATCTCCACGTCACACTTGGGTTCCAGCTCCACGCTGATCTGCTGCAGCTCTTCTTCAACCCGCACCTCCTCCTGTGACCTGGAAAGCCAAAGACACAGAGGCCCAGTTGCTTAGTTTGGCACAGTGCCACCTCTCCTCGAGCACAGCTCTCAATTTTAGGTCAGGATAAGTCATCCCTGAACCTCTCGCGCTGCAGCTGGCCGCAGGTGCTCRGCACGCGCGCGCAGCACGACGCTCACAGCAGGGACCGAGCCACTGACGGCAGCTCAGGACTTCCCAGGATTGAGACTTCAGATGACCCAAATTCCCAGACAAAAGGGCCGGGCCCTTCAAACTGCAGCTCTTGAAACCACAGAGGGAGAAAAAGAGGACAAGAGGAAAGGGATTAGGTTGCTAACGCTKCAGAAAAGATGGGTAATGTCAAATTGGACACGGATGGAAAAGGGAGAATTGGTCTCCGGGGAAAACCTCTCTGCCCAGAGATATCGGGGTGTCCATCAGCAATGCAAGGGCCAAAGCCTCTGACCTCTTCTGAAGCTCCTACTGCACCAAGCTGCCCCAGCATTAACATAAGATCTTTCTGCATGCTCAGGAGCTGTTGGCCTTCAATTTAATACCCCAGGCTATCAAAGTAATTGCTTATGTTAGTGGGGCTGCTTTTAGAGGCCCCATGGGAAGGAGGAACCGGCGTTTGCCAAGCCGAGGGCCCAGCCCAGGGGAAGGAGCTGCGGGTTTCGAGCTCTGCTCCATCCCAGCTGGGAGCAGGGAGCTGGGACCAGCAGGCGGCAGCCCTGCTCAGCGCTGGGGCACCTGCCACTTCTTGCAGCGGTGGCTTTCAGAAACCCGCAGGGAATTCCCAGCAGATTAGCATCACGCAGAGGTGTGACACATTCCAGGCTTGAGAAGATTGGATAAGGGCTTTTTCATTGCAGCTCAGGAATGTAAATTCCCCGCGAATCATATGTTAATAGCTTTGTTCTTGCACTGGCATTCACCGGGGGATCATGAAGCACTTCAAAAATATGCGGCTCCCTGCTCCCCTACAAGTGACACACACGAACAGCAGCACCAGAAATGAAGACACAGGGTAGAAAAAAAAGCAGCCAGCCCGAAGTTACCACAGCCACATCTATAAGGGGGCTGTCAGTGTGACGAGTCTGTGATAGAGATGTCTGTCCCTGAGGAAATCACTGAGCTCTCCGTACTGTCCAGGGACAGGCACTTCTGGGACACGATTCACCTGGCCTATTTTCAGGTGAGCAGCCGTATCCGACAGCAGCTCCCTCCATGAAGTACAAAAGGGGCATGGAGTGACTCAGATAAGTCACTGCTTTTTGCCTTGCAGGTCCCGTCACAAGTACCTGAGTTTAAGTCCAGGATTTGCAGCATTTTCAGGCAATGAATTGTGCAGGTGGTGAAATACCCCATGGGTGCCATTAAAAATTACAATGACATGGCTGTGAGGTGCTTCAAAATGTCATTTCTCTAAAGCACGAGATAYTGATTGCAGAAAGAGGACGTAAGTCTGCCCTGCAGCTCCTCCAGCTGTGCCACAGCCCCCAGAAGAGTCTCTGGGGTGCAGTTCAAAACCTGCATCTTTAACACATACAAAATATCCTAGGAAGCCATGGCTAAAAAATAAATAAATAAAAAAAATGCAGAATCCGCATTCAGATTCTTCTGACACATAGGTAATGGCATCAGCTTCACTGGTGCAAAATTACTCAAGCTAACTATATGATACCTGCTTCTAAATTCAGACACATCTATAATTTTTGTCACGCTTTGGCGCTGTGTTCAAGCCACCTATTATAGGTGATCTCAGAAACCTGCATGTGAGGAAAATTCTATATAAAAAAGGGGAACATTTGATGGCATGAAGTTCACCAAGCCACAGAGGACCACCCYAGTCCTGGATCTGCAGAGACTCAGGCTCAGCCTCCAAGTCATCCTTGGCTTTTGTACAGGGATGAACACGAGGTCTTTGCGCAGCAGCTTAAGAAGAAACGTGACTTTTCTCACCTGCCATCCTGCCCCGAGGAGTGCGTGCGCCTCCTGCAGAAAGAAAGCAGAACAGTGGAGTTTGAGGAGCAATTCAGGAGAGAAAACCTACAGTGCCCCCAAATCCAACTCCCCACCCCACGACGGAGATGTTCTACTTCACAGCTGACACTTCTTCCAGCAATAATTAATCCCATCAAAGCTGTGTCTGCTTGCTCCCAGGAGAGATTTAATTAAAAGGGGGTCATTAGCATTGCGGAACACAGGGCAGCCTGCCGAGATGTGCAGCGACCGCCCGGCTGCGGCGCGAGCGGGACCCGGGCGCCGTCCTCACCTGTACCGGGGCTGCTCAGACGTCTCCGAGGGGGATCGCTCAGGAACGGAGAGGGACGTCGAGGACAGTGTCGTGGCTATGGAGGCCGTGGTAGCTTCTTCGAAGGAAGGCGGCGTGCAGGGAAGCAGGTCTGGCCTGCCTGCTGGCCCAAGCAGAGGGCAGGGAGAGGTGGAGGGTGGAAGAAAAGCAGGAGTCAAACACCAGCACCTTAACTACAGCCTGGGTCATGCACTACAACCTGCACAGCTGCAACAGGAGCAGCCACTTAGAGCTACAAACACACAGCAAGCTTAGCTGGGTTCAGGACTGCAGGAGATTGTCCCAAGGCAGGTTAGGACAACAGGTTTCCTCCAGAGATGGCCACTAGGCTCCATGTCCTGCCCAACAGGCAGCAGGTTACCCTTTGGGAGGGACTTAAAAATGCTCCTGGAAACACAAAGCCAATGAAAACGTCTCACTGGTAACCAAAGCTGGATTAAAGGCTTGGACTGCCAGAGATAAATATCCAAGTGAATTAAGAGATGAACGGAGTGCTCACTGTTTTGTACAGGTAGAAATCTAACACTTGCACACTCAAGGACCTCGCCTTTCACCACTCATCCACAAATCCAGTCCAGATGGAAGCGATGATAAGGCAGCAAAGAAGCAAAGAACCCCTTTGCCTTTTTGCAAAGACAAGATCTCGCCCCTTMTAACTACCCAAACACTGACACCAGAGGCCTGTAGCTTCCAAACCCTTTCTGCAAGGGTGAAAAATTCAAAGAACCAACTTTCTGAGTGCATCTGGGCTATGCTGGCACCAGTTGGCAGCAGCTGCCTTGCAGCAGTGATGCAAGCAACCATTTTTACTGCAGAACCACACAGTGCTGCAAAGAGGGGATTTATCTTTTTTCCCCAATGCAGAGCTGTTGCCTCCCTGAAACAACTAACTGCCAGCGTTGTGACAAAACAATACACTCTTACCTTCTCCCCTGCCCTGGTTAAGTTTAGCACCTGCAAAGCACAGCAAGACATGGAATGAAGAACTATTCATCAAAGATGATGAGYGTTTGGTGCACAGTGGGGAACTGAACGAGAACAGGGGAGGATCTAAGGAACTGCTAGGAGCGAGAGGAGAATCACACCGTCATGAGCCACCAAGCAAGACCRTTACCTTCGTCATCGAGCGTGGGGTAACTCCTGGCTGCACGAAGATCATACTGGGTCTCGTCCTTCTCCGAGGGAAGCTGGCTGGCTGAAAACGCAGCGGTTGGACCAGACGTCTTGACAGCCAGCAAGGCACTGCGCCCTTTCTTCGAGGGGGAGGATTTCAGAGCTAGATGAGAAGAGTGAATGAGGAGGAAGTTATCACCACTACAAACTACCTTCACACTGTTCCATGATGCAGCTCCCCTGTGTAGGGAGAGCTCTCTGCCCTGCGACACATGCATCTCCTGGAGATGGATCTCTGCTGCCAGGCTGCATGGAGAGTGCCCGGGCTACAGTCTGAGCAGGGCAAGCTGGGCTGTGACAACCCCAGGGCTTTGCAGTTGCCAAATTTTACCTATTCCGGAGTGGCAAAGCCCGCTCAGACTCCAGCCCTGCAACTTTCCAGCCCGACCCAAGCAGCAAGACAGAGATAAGGCTCTGCCTCTCCCACCCCACAAGGACAACAGCTCTCGGACTATGGACACTTACAGGAATTCTTTCGAAACACCGTGTTGGTCATGAACTTGAAGAATCTCTCTGCGTAAAAGCTTGGTCTGTGTACTGACACTGTGTCCTGCAAAGGCAAGAAGCAAACGCCTCATTTAAAACTCAGCCCCCAAGACAGAGAATTGCTGAAACAAATCAATACAACCTGTAGAGCAGCATTYAGCACTGCTAGATCCTTAAAATGGAAAGACTTAACTGGAGTGATCTGATTAATGCTATATATAAACCTGAAGCGTTGCTGTTGATTTGATTGCATTTGATTACATTCTCACTACAATTTTATAATGGATTTGGGCAATTTTATTCCTTTAAAAACCTCCCAGATATTTGGAATACTGGTATGACCACATTCTGTCAAATTTCTTCCAGTTTTGCTGGCTGACATTCAAAGCACCTCTGGATACATCTGCATTTGTCACGGACACCAAAATTCAGCCGAGGGTTTCCACACAGCTCAAGTGCTGTGTGCTTTCAGTTTAAAACTCTAAAGCAGAGGCCGTTTCTGATGTTCTGCTGTGCTGCTACGACTTGCCAGTGACACATTTCCTTCACCTTGTTATTTAAAAAGAGCTAGGATATGCATTACTGGAAAAAAAAAAAACAATTTCCACATCTGAAGTTGCTCTTTTGCAAACACACACCTGGCTGCTGCGGAAGACCAGAGGAACATTGAGAGGCAGTTACTAAGGAATAGCCCAGCGAAGTGGAAACCCAGTCAGTCGCCAACGAGAGCCAAAACGGGGCTCCACAGCACAGCCGAGATGCACAGGGCTCATGTGTACCGCTCCCGGCGGCACGGGGAGGAGGGAAGTGACAGATGGGAGCAGGGGAGGAAAGATGGTTGCACGGCAGCTAAGTGTGCGAGGAGGCGGCGCGAGCAAGAAAACCCGGTCGCAAATCATTGGCACTACACCGCTGTGCAGGAACAAGAGGTTAGAACTATTCCTCTCATCAACTTCAGCCACTTTAGGCGCTAAAAACAGTGACATAATTGATGCCAACCGGTATAGAAGAAGCCAAGGCAGGTGGCCCCACCGAGGCCGGCACAATTCTTGCCTCTGTACTGACACTCACCCCATCGTGGACAAGAGCCTTCCAGGTATGTTCCAGCTTCTTGATGAACCTAATTTCAGAGAAGCAGAGAGAGAGAATTAGATTGAGGTCTGCACTCGATATCTAAGCCACTTCTCGTACCCTGCGCCGGAGAGAGAACAGGGTTGCTAATAATTGCTCCTTCATGTGGAGCACAGCTTCCCTCCAGGCAGGAAGGGGCGGCCGTGCAGGCAGCAGCACCGCGCTCAGGYCAGCACTGCCACAGGCAACGAGGGCTGCAAGAGGGGCAGAGAAACATCTCCCAGCCCCGGGGAAACCTGCAGCACTGTGTGCAGTTCTGGGCTCCCCAGTATGAGAGGGATATGGAGCTTCTCGAGAGGTTCCAGCAGAGAGCAACTAAGATGATGAAGGGAATGGGACATCTCCCGTACGAGGAGAGACTGAGTGAACTGGGCCTGTTTTCTCCAGAGAAGAGAAGGCTSAGAGGGGATCTGATCAACATGTATAAGTTCATGAAGGGGGAATGCAGGGAGGAAGGGGACAAGCTCTTCTCATTGGTGGCCAGCAATAGGACAAGGGGTAATGGGCATAAACTGAAACACAGGCAGTTCCATCTCCAGGTGAGGAGGAACTTCTTCACTGTGAGGGTGACAGAGCAGTGRAACAGGCTGCCCAGGGAGGTTGTGGAGTCTCCTTCTCTGGAGGTCTCCAAACCCACCTGGATGCCGCCCTGTGCCACATGCTCTGGGTGTGCCTGCTGGAGCAGGAAGGTTGGACTAGATGATCCCTAGAGGTCCCTTCCAACCTTGAACATTCTGTGAAACGCTACCCATTCCAGGCGCAGACGCAGGGAACTTGCATTGTAAGCWGCTCATTATACCTTAGAAAAAGAGCTCGGTGCCACCAGCTGTTCTAAGGATGAGATAAAAATTCACAGCCCCTGACGTGCACTGGACGCTGTGTTAGACAGCCTGCCTACTCATTATCCAACACTTCAGGYGTAGAAGACCTTCCTGCTTTCATCCAGTATTAAACCAGATGCTAAGAGACTTGGAGGACAGCAAAGCTCTCACCTGTATGACTGGAGGATATCTATTATTCCTACGTGGAGCAGGAGGCGCTCTCCTTTGCCGTTCACTGCTGGAATTCCTCCCATTCTGCAGGCGAGACAAAACTCCAGTGAGAAAACCTTCGTGCAGAGCCTGGCAAGTCCCCTACTGACCCAGGCAAGGTGTCCCTGAAGCCACTGCCTCCCTGCATGGCCAAGCACAAAACAGCAGGACAAGGACACATGGTGCATGGCAATAGTCCTACCTGAGCCAGAAAAACATTGCATGGATTTTCCTGGCTCCAGGACAGGAGCACAAGCTTGAGGCTGAACTCAGTCTCACAGGAAAAGCACCATAAAATACTTAAGATACAACTGAGAGGGGGACGTGTCCCGGGGCAGTTTATAAAGATGGTACCTGAGGACCATCCCTGGGTGGCAGCTCCTACCACACACCAAAGCTGCTCTMTGCACCAGACATTATGCAGCTCTTAGCAGTTCCTTGGTGCTGGGCATCCGAGATTCCTGAAGCATAAAATCCTATTTCATCCTGGGGACCACATTATTTATCAAGTCAGCACGAGCTGTCTGCCTACGAGGGCAGCAAAGCTTTAAGGATGAGGRTCTTTCCATGCCCATCGTGCAACCCACAATCCCGGGAAAGGAGCAGCAGCGCTGCTATCAGCGCAGCCCAGGAGCACGCGGGCGTTCAGCCTCTGCAATTACGGAGCTGTCTGAGAGACTGGAAGTGTTCAAAGCACCAAAGTAATTCCTGGCCCCAGCCAGACCGATCTCCTTTGAAGCAGGAGCAGCTGGTTTCAGGCTGCACGGTGCCGCTGGCAAATACACCAAATGCCACCGTTTATTACCAAGCCCGGTGTGTGGAGCCAGAGGGACGGTCACGAGCGCCGCGTGTGGCCTCCACAACAGGCTGYGGGGCCGGCAGCAGCTCTCCAAGAGCTCCCACATTGACCACAATTGGGGGCCTACTCCTCCAGCCTCCACTTCCACTCTTGGCAGCAGTGCAGAGGAGGAGATTTTCACCTACGTGTCGTCCGTGTCTATGGACTCCCCGCGGGCGGCTCCACCCTGGATGGACTCCATGGCCGTGGAGTAAAGGGCCTTCTGTGCCACRGGACGCTTCTCGTCCGACGTGCTGTGGGCTCCCTCTGACAGTCGCTCCCGTTCTTGCTGGTCTATGTTGTGAACCCCAAGCAGGAGGCTGTAGTCCATGATTTTAAAACTTTCCAACACCTACAGGTTAGTATCGAGTTTAAGAACAAAGACAAATCAGGCCAGCAATTGCTCACGGGCATCTTCAAAGGCAGCACAGACCCCAACGCCTGGAACTGCTCCTCCCCACTCACGCGAGCAGCTCCTTAGGTGAAGCTAGAGCATTTCTGGACTCGCTGGAGCTCATTGGTTTCAGCCATCCCACAACCTACAGGGCTGAGGACTCACAAGTAACCCAGTCGTACCATGTACCTCTTGCACATTGTATTGTTTGTTTTTAGCCCAAACAGCCCAGAGAAAGAGAGA